TGACTCGACCCAGCTTTACTTTCCTGGAGCTGGGGGAGCTGACAAAGCTTGCTGAAGAAGACTCCTAAGCCAGAGGGCCTTTGGTTTCAAAACAGCTCCATGGAGCATCACAATGTTTTAAACTATGGTATCGATTACATGAGAAAGGAAAGGAAGGTGGGAAATATAGATGGTAAAATAAAATTTCTAAGTGCAGGTTTGAAATCCCACAGCAAAAGTTGAGAGCAGGGCTGAGTATATGGGGGGGATGCATGGGATAAGTAGGGAGGCTGGTGACTGACCACAAAAGATGGATTGGTTATTTAAATATTATTTGTTTTTCTATCTGAGGAGACTTTTCTGAACCAGACTTAAAAAATTGGGGTGAATTTAACATTTTTACCCAAACTGCTGCTAATCACTGCACTGAAACCATCAGGCTGCCTCCCACCTAGAGCATCCTCCTGTGCTGATCCCTGGGTCTGCAGGCTTACCCATCTGTCACTGGCAGCCCAGTGCCACCCCAGCAAAAATAGGAGCATATTTATGTCAATGCTCATGTCCTTGCTGTGTGTTTGTGCAGAGCATGATGGACTCTGTATTGGATCAGAGCTGCTGGGTCCCAGTTCCCGACTGACACCTGGCAATGTGGGTGGCTGGCTCACAGGTAAACTTGTGTTTGGTCAGCAAGGTCCTTGTGCCTCAGGAGGAAATGGGTGATCAGCTCACTTCAATGTTGTTCGAAGCTAAATGACCCCAGCTTCTCTCATATGAACAATTCTGTGTGGGGTTTTTTTTCTGTAAATCTGTGTTATGGTCCTACCTACCACTGCAGCTCAGCACACTCAGCCTTCATGCATTTATTCCTATGACAGTCCTGGGCATTTGGGAGCAGAGATGTGGAGGATCTGTGGGAAGCCAGGAGGCTTTCAGGAGAAAAACAGGCTTTAGTTTGTGTAGTGCTTGTGTGTGCTGTGTTGTGCTTCCCCATCCCTGCACAACATTTGCTTTGCTTTAACTGAGACTGAGCATGATTGAATTATATCTTTGGGAAAAGGCAAACAAAAATCATATTGGGTGTTCTCTCTCAGTGCTAGCAGTACAATGCTTAGATGAGCGCTTAGGCTGCTGATCCTTCAGAATCTCCTATTACAGAGAGCTTAACTTTTAAAGTAAAAAAAACTTTGCTGGGAATCTCAGCCAGTTTAGAAAAACCCCATCCACCATTCCTAGCAGGAGGAAGGCGCTGAACTGAAGCAAACCCCAGTGGGTGCATCTCCAGATTCCCGAGCACACGTTTCCCCAGAAATCCTCGCCTCACCTCGCAGCCAGCGACTCAAGTGTGCGAGGAGCTGGATTAATCCATGTGAGACTGAGAGCTCTCCTGAGGAAAACAGCCAAGCAGGGTGGGGAGGAGGCTCCTGGGGATTTCTGTATTTCTCCTTAGAGCTGCCTGAAAACTTTCTGTCAAAATACTGAACAGTGTAGTTTCTGACAGCTGCATTAGTTGTTCATTCCCATAGCCACCCCGAAGATGTGGATTATTGTGATGTTTGCACAGTCAGGGGCCAGAGGTCAGCCACAGCCCAGTACCTGTGAAGGGCTGTTGAGCACATGGATGTCTGAATTTTTCCACCAGAAACACACTTTTGCCTAAATGTGGTAGCTTTTCTAGTGTGAGCAATCTAAATTTGACATTGTAACTTAAGTCACACTCAAATTGCATCCATTTCACTTAAAATAAAAAAAGAAAATAGCAAAATGCAGCATCTCAGTGTAAAAGAGTGCATCTCCTGAGCCCAGATTCCTGCTCTCCTGCGTCTCTCTAAACTCTGAGTATCCCAGTGGCCCAGGCAGTGTGGCCTGCCAGGCACTGAGCCTCACTGCTGGGAATGTCAGAGAGGGAGTCCTGCCCAGGGGCTGACAGTGGGCTGATGTCCAGCTCTGGACAAAGCCCAGCACGACCCAAATCCAAGCAGGAGAAAGCCACTGTCATTTCTGTGCCAGCTGAATTGCTGGGCTGGAAAAGTCATTCATGTAAGTAAATGATTAGTGACTGATTGGCCTCTATGTGGTGAGTCCATCACCATCAATAACCCTAACACAATATGTGATCCTTCCAAAAAGACCATCATTAGATGGACTGATGTCAGCACAGCCTCCCCAGTCCAAGGCTTTGATATCATCTCATAAATTAGGAAGATTTTCAGGCCAGACAACACTTTAGTAGTCTCTGTGGGCATTGAAGAGCTGCTGCAATGAACCTTGTAAAAACAAATGTTGAATATAAAGAGGACCAAACAACTGTTTGCCTTCAGCATTCTGGAAGTTGTATGAGGCCAAAATAATTTTAACAGATGTGATCAGATCCCATCTCCTTTTAGCATGGAGTTAACAGCTTTGCAGTTACTGATGGCAGGGGTGAGGAGAGCCACCAGCTTCAACACAAGGGACGTGGTAGCAGAGTAGGGAGATGAACAGAAAAAGAAACTACAAAGTCTTGCTGTCAGAGAGAAGTGAGGCTGCAGTGCCTGGTCAGGCAGAGTGTCTCTTGGCTTTGCAAACAAATCATGCCCATGTTGTCTGGACCCTGATCTGCCTTTCCTTGAAGTGGGTGCCAAAATGCCCCTTGGGTTCACCACTGCACAACAGGCCCCAGCTTGTTTCATCTGTAAGTGATACTCTGCCCCTGCAAATGATCTGTGTGAGCAGTCAATGTGATTCCCTGTGCCAGTGATAAAGCTGAGCTCATGGGCAGTTGTGCCAATGCTTTTAGACAGTAAACTTTTGGGCAGAAGTTATGCAAATGTTCAGATTAATTTAGATATGCAAGTAGCCCCAAAAAAATCAATGGAATCACTTAGATGATTAAAATAACTTTGTCCAAAGTGTTTTTAGCCTCTGTGCAGCTCCCTGGTCTGTATGGATGTCTTGCACACAGACCTGTTCACTTACAAAGATTAAAAAGGAACATTTTCATTAAGAAAACTTGCTCTGCTTGAATGCAGAGAAGGTGACTCAGTAAATCAAGCTATTCTTTTTTCCCTGGCATGTGTTGTGCCCAGGTCTTTATGTTCCCGTGTGCAGACACTGTCTATGAGAGACATTATACCAAGCTCTGTGAATCCCTGATGTTTGCCAGTGTGGTTTCTTTATTTTTAGTAGTTCCTGGGTAAGGACTGAATCCATCCATGTGCAAAAGATCACAATTGACAGAGAGGGGAGGCATGCATGTGTTTCGAGACATGTGCCTGGGGTGGCTGTGGTTATGTAAGGGCTCTTTTGACATGGCCAATTACATAAAATGGAAATACAGGGGAGGAAGGCAGTGCATGAATGCAGAGAGAGAATCTGGCTGTAGCAGTGGAGCCTGTGTCACTGCAGATGCAGGGACTGAAGCACAAGGAGGGTCACCAGGGTACATCTAGGCCTGTCCAGGGATCCCCAGGTGCTGCTGGCTGGGCTCAAGGGAGGCAGGGATCCTCCTGCTGCAGCACAGCTGTGCAGCACCGTGGTCAGTCAGGTGCAGTCTTTGGAAATCTGGTCCTTTTTGTTACATTTTAAGCTGAAATGTGTTTAGTGAGCTGCAGGACACAGGGCAGGGGCAGCAGGAGGAGGAGGCAGTGCTAGTGCTGGTTAAATGACGTGTGGGGGCACAGCCAGAGAGGACATGGCAGGAATGCCCAGGGGAGCGAATGCTTTGGTTGTGGGAGCTCAGCCCCCAGGGCAGGACTCACTGCTCTGAAATCCCTGAAGCTGGCACAGGCATTGAGAAGGGCTTTTCTCAGTGAAAAGGAAGTTTAGAATTGTTTGGGCAGGCAGTGGGTGATCAGCTCAAATCCAAACGTGAACTCTTCTCAGTGTGCAAAGACCTCTACAGCTTGCTCACCTTTTCCAGAGGTAACACTTCTGCTCTGGCATCACGGCTGCTTCACTGCTGCAAGGGCTCTGTGCCTGCTGCTGGGAAGGGAGGGAGAACAGAGGTTTCTGCTGCCCTACTGAATTTCAGACAAGAAACTGGAGATCTCCCATGAGAAAGGCATAATGCATATGTACTTCTTTGTTTCAACCTGTGTCAACCTTTTCAAGTGTAAAGATCAGCATTTTGTCCAACCAAAGTGTCACAAAGGGCTAAATTTTGTGTCTGGAGCAAATCTACAATCCCCTGCTGAGCAATTTCCAATGAGCCATGTGTCTGTTGCAGCTTGTGACACAAGCTCAGGATGTAGCGACCCCTCTCTGAAATCTCACCTTGATGAGGCTCCTGCATTTCGCATTTCACTGCTGAGGCCACGCCTGTGTCCTCATATTCATGCAGTCACCAGGTCCAGCAGCAGCAGGAGTGCCCTGGTGCGGGGTGGATATCAGATTTGACAGGGTTTTAATGTCTCTGAGGGGGAAGCACACGTTTACCAGCCTCTGGCTGATAAGCACAGGGCCGAACCAGGGCACTGGGGCTTCAATCGGCCCCTGCCCGTCCGTGTGAGCCGTGTGCCTGTCCGAGCATCCCTGCGGGGCAGCCTGGCCGGCTTCCATGCGTTCCCAACAGATGGTGCTGCCGTGCCACCGAAAGCTGAAGGCATGCGAGGAACGGAGCTTTCAGGGACATTCCCTGCTCCCTGCACTTTCCTCCACGGTCTCCCGGTTGAATTGGAGTGGGTTTCGTTTTCCCCAAGCAGCCTGCACAGACTTTGCCTGGCTTCAGTGATTATCCCTACCAGCCCAACAGGATCTGCCTGGCAGGATCCATCCTGCCCTTACTGCAGTGTCGGAGGGCCGTGGCTCTGGTTTTGGTGAGGCTGCAGTTCCACTCTGCTCCGGGTCCCGGGGATTTTGGCCTCTGCCTGCACAGCCACTGAAGCCCAGCAGGGAGAACAGCGGGTGCCAGCTGTGTCTCCCGGCCTCAGTGGCACAGAGCACAATGTCTCTTCAAGAGTGCACCTAAATAGCTGTATCCTGTGAATACATGATGTGTTTGACACAGCTTGGCTCTGCCTGCAGCAATAAGGCTGGCTCTGGTCTAGGGAAGGGCTGATGGACCTTCCTGTCCTCGCTCCCTCAGCCTGCCCCGCAGTGAGGTGCTCCCTTGTCCTGGCTTGGAGAGAGGGATGCTCCTCTTTCCCTGCACACTGAAGTCATGCTGCTTTTGGTGCAGCCTCTCTCAGGAGTACCTGCAGCCTGAGGATGCCTCAGGAAGGTGGAGAGGACAGTGTCTGCCTGGGGAGGAGTCTAGGTGTGCTGTGTGTGATTTGGGTGAGGCCTGCGCCTGGCAGGGTTAGGAGCTGATGGCCACGAGGAGCTGGAGCCATCTGGGCCCTCACATCCTCTACCAGAACTCTTGGTCCTTTCATGGCTGGGATTGACAGGTCTGTTCCTTCCTCTCTATCCCCGAACAGGTGCTGGGAGGATCCTGGTGTCTGGTGTGGCTGTGGTGTGAGTTTTGGTGGCATTAATACTGGAGAGGGGGCAAGGCAGAGCCAGCAGCTGTGGCAGGGCCTTAAGGGGGTGGTGCTGGGAGCAGCAGCACAGGGATGTTTTCTGCCTTGCTCAGGCTGATGTTTGTGCAGACCTGCACAAACACTCAAACCTGCTCACATGCCTTCCTCGTGCTCCCTGTGTGCCAGCTTCTCTTGGCCCCATGTCCCTGCAGTCTGCCTGCACTGGATGAATTTACTGCTGTTGAACAATAATAGCATGTAAAGAAGGCAATAGGGAAAATGGGAAAATACATTCAAAGAACTGAACATTCAAATTCACTTTACAGGAGGTGATCATGTCGCTACCCAGCCCCTTGCAGAACCTGCATGGCTCCATCACCAGGAAGCACTGCTGAGATGGGGTAAGCCATGAACAGCCTCTCGAAGCATCGATCGAGGCTAGTCACTAAGAAACTCAAAAAGCAGCTTGGACATTGATCTGTGAGCTGGCAGCACGGTGCTGGCTGGCCAGGACTTTGATCTAAATGAGAACCCCATCTTTCAGACCCAACTTCATTCTCTCGCCAAAAACTGGAATTGCCCTTTTGTATCTCGAGGCCATGAAATTAAGTGATTCCTTTGCAGGTCATGGGCACCCCTGAAAAGCACAGACTGGGCTGATTTTCTGGAAACCCAGGGAAACCCTTGAATAAATGCACAGTCAAGTGATGAGTTTCCTTAACTAATGAGTTTCCTTAACTAATGCTGACAGTAAAATTTGCTCCCCACCTCCATGTAGAGGAAATGATGCTGATATCAATTCACCCTAATTTAGCTGAAATTACCTCTGGTATATGCACGGCTGTGCTTTGGAATAGTGACAAAATTTTGGCTCTATTCTCACATGAATATTTTTCCAGTGGATGCAGTTTATTGATTTCAGAAAAAAAAAAAAAAAAAAGAAAAAGAAAAAAAGGAAAAAAAAAATTCAATACTGTATCCCTTTAAACAAATTTCTGCTAATCTTAATTTCTTGGGCTGAGGTACTGTCCTGGAGGGAGAGCCCTGGCAGTATTCAACTCTTGTGTGGCAGGTGAAAAACTCAGCAAGGCAGCTGGTCTCCTTTCTTCTTCTGCCTTTGGCCTGTGAGCTCTGGCTTGTAGCACAAAGAGATGACAGGAAAGTATTTGCTGAGTGGGGTATTGAGCAGTCTTGTGTCTAAGCCAGCCTTTGTCACACACCACTGCCCTGAGGAGAAGCAAGCTGCCCCATCCTGCCCTTACAGCAGTATCAGTGGGCCGTGGCTCTGGTTGTGGTGGGGCTGGAGTTCCATTCTGCCTCCCATTTTTGGGATTTGGCCTCTGTCTGCACAGTGAAACCCAGGTGCTGGTGCAATCCTGGAGCAGCTGCATCACTGTTGATGTGTCTGCTGCTGCAGTGGTCTGAGCCAGTGAGTGTCACCTGTGAACCTCCACAGGTGGGCCCACTGGAGATTCTCATCTCTACTGGGGTCACCACAAACTCCTCTCCTTTTGGCCCAGCACATCTGCACTGGTCCTGGCATTCCAGCCAGGCAGTCCCAGTTAGGATTAAATTGGATAAATCCCCAATTCAGGGAGGTCTGACAGTTAAATTACCCTCAGCAGGTTTTCTGGGCCCATCAAGTGAGGCTTTAACCTTCTGCTTGTGTCCAATATGACTTCTGGCGACTCCCAGTTTGCAATCTCCCTGGAGGCCCGAAAGTGGAATGTGGTGGGGTCTGTGAGGAGGTGGTTTGTGGCCAGTGCCAGTGACCAGACAGGGACTCTCTCTTCCCTGGGAGGAGCCCAGCGATGGAAGCTCAGGTTAGAGTGCAGCAGCACCTCCACAGCTGCCGTCTCCAGAGCGTGTCCCCAAGATCCAGGATGCCAAAGCTCAGGGGTTTTGCTCCTGATGGCTCCCTCCCTTGCCCCTTTTCCCTTTACCAGCGTGGCAGAGGGTGATCAGGCACAGCAGGGCCAGTTTGCCCAAGGGGATGTGGGCGAAGCAGGGAGAGCTGTGCTGTGCCAGCTGGGGCTGGTGGCACTGGGTGGCACTGGGTTGCACTGGGTGGCACTGGGTGTCATTAGGTGGCACTAGGTGGCACTGGGTGGCACTGGGTGGCACTGGGTGGCACTAGGTGGCACCATTGACTTGGGAGCGAGGATGGACGTGCAGGACTCGGGAGAGCTGCTCCGAGGTGTCTCCATCGGGCAATCCTCGGCACAGCTTTAGCCCTCTCCCAGCGCTGAGGGTACGTGCATCCCTCACTCTCAGGGTACCTGACCACCAGAGCTGCCTCAGACCTTGCCTTTGAGCCGCTTTTGGGGACTTGTCCCGTTGCTGGCCGAGGGCTGTGGGGACGGTCCCGGGGAGCCCCGAGTGCAGCGGGGCGGGAGGAGGCTGAGCATCCCTGCAGCTCTGTATCCCCTCACAGGCACTCTGCAGCCTGCCTGGCTCACCAGCCCTCCTGACAGCAGCTTGTGGCGCTGGGAAGGAGAGCATTTTCCTTTTCCATCTTTCACTTTATCATCTTTCCATCTGGCCTTTTATCCCGTTCTTGTCCCTCATTACAAGGTGTTGCCATAAGCTCGTGCTGACAGAACTTGCTGAGGGCACTGCTGACGGGAACACGAGTAAGAACTGCAGCAAGAACTGCTCAAAGGATATCTTTTTTTTCCTACAAGATTTTTATTAAAATATAATACTAATCAAAGCCTTTGTTGGAACTAGTGGATCTAGTTTTTGAATTTGGAAATAAATACTTTCTGGGGGTATCATGGCTGTAAATATTTCATGTCCCACTTCTGCAATACAACCCAAGTGTAAAGTAGAGGAAAAATAGTGCTGGGATAGGAAGGGATAATGGACTACATGCAGAAGAATTGGCACTAATTATAATAACTAATTTTAAAAAGTTGCTATAACTGTATAATTACATGATTAATATTTGCTGTGATGTTATGAGATACATTATGTAAAATATCCTTTTGTTGCAGGAAAAATGACTGTTGCCCAATTGTTCCAGTCTCCACTCCACGGTGATCAGGAGCAAACCCAGTGAGTGGGGCTGTGCTGGCCTGTGCTGGAATTGTGTTCCTCGTGCTGGTGCAGGGGGTGGGATTGGTTGTGGCTCCTTTGGGAATGGCACACAGCCTGCAGTGGGTCCTGGATGGGCTGCAGCAGCCTGTGGGGCAGTGGAGCTCTGTGCATTCCATGGACATCCCTACTTTGGAGCAGGAACAGCCCAGAGCTGCTCAGGGAGGACCTTGGGCTGACTCAGAGAACTCAGTGTGAAATTCCTATAGTTACTGCTAATGTATTACTTAAAGCTTAGGTGGTTATTATATTTATTTTACAAATACATTATCCTATTACCCACTGTAATACTGCAACTATATACTAATAATATGTAATTATATGCTTAGGTAAGTTTTTCTACCTTTGGTTCAAGCTTGTCCCTCTATGGAAAATCACTTTGAGCTCTTCACAGTCTGCTTGCTGTGTCTGCTCCTGCCTGCCCAGCATTGATCCCAGCCCTGCCTGACTCCCATCCTGGGAAGGGCAATAGCTGAAACACAGTGCAAGAAACTAATTTCCCCTTAAAATATAAAACATGTCAGTGATATATAGCTGTTGCTGCTGTTGATGTCAGTAAATCTCTATTTAGGTTCAAATGTGTTCAGCTTTTTGACTTCCCATTCAGAAAACATGGGACAGGGAATAACAATGGATGAGTAAGCACAAGTTTTGGCAGTCAGAGTTAAAGATGTCACCAGAGATTAGGCATTAGGAGCTTTTTAAAAAACTTATGTTATCTCTTTAATGCCAGAAAGTATCAGTTAATGCATTGAATTGACTGTCACACAGGGTATCAGGACCATGATTAGGCAGTTTCCCAGACTTTGGCTGTCAGCACAAAGATATGCTCTTGGCATCTCTTCCAAAATAGTTCCCTGAGACTTTGTTTCGGGGAGAGACAGATAAAGTTTTCACTGATTAGATGAGGCAGACTTAAGAAACCAAATGGCAGGAGTGATAAAAGTGATGCATGATGTTGGAGGGGAAAAAGCTAGAGGCTGCAAGGGATAGAGACTCAGGTGGGGGTGGAGAGAGTCCAAAATGAGGATAAAGAAATAATTGGCACTGTATGTTCATCCTTTCTTCCCATTTTGCTCTTTGCCTAACCTCTGGTTGATTGGACAGATGGACCCATCCTTATACCCAGAGGTTATTTCTGTTAGAAGTGCGGAAGAGACACGAATCACTGTTTGTACCTGCTGCTGGCAGTGTTCAGCTGGTGTCACTGACACTGGCTGGCCAGGCTGTAGCTGCTACTTTCCACAGGAATTTCAGCCTGCTGGGTGTTGCCTCTTGTTCCAGCTTTCCTGAGCTCTGCTGCCTGCTGTGCCTTCTCTTTACAAATTCATTGCAGGGTTGGAACCTTAGCTTTAGGGAAAACAGTCTTTAAATGAGACCCAAGGGAAAAATGCTGGGAATATTTCCTTGTTTCTGTGTTTTCTGAGAAGCAGGGTGAGCTTACCAGAGCCTGATCCTGTAGCTTTGTCTTCCTGTGTGCAGGTACAGTGCTATGGGCTGTACAGCTTTGATTTCTGAGCCTTCCAGACATGGACCAGTTTCTCTTCATCTCCTTAGAAGCATGGACAGTAAATGTTTTGTGATGTTAAGCTGCAATTGGTTCTAAATGTATAATCTTTTATTAGGAGAGGCAGAGTCCAGGAAAGCCTGGACTCTTTGAAAGAAAAGCTTTCTCCCAATTCTCTTGGCCAAGGAAACTTATCTCTCCACCTCAGCCTTCAGCAAGCAGTGGAAGGAGTTGGTTTTTGGGTTTTTTTAGGCTTGGTGAGGCACAGAGAAGGGTACTGTCCTTGAACATCACTCTTTAAAAGCCAGGGTGCAGTGGGGACAGTGGTTTGTGTTGCTGCAAAAGTGCCCTGCAGTGGTCTGTGCAGAAGAGGCTTGAGTTAAATGATTCTGAGGTCCCTGGGGATTTGCCTGAGGGTGGCAGGTTTGACAGCAGGTGGAACTTTGCCAAAACCATGCAGGGCACAAGCTGCCTGTCCAAGTGAGGCAGTGGAGGCTCCAAGGAGAGCACAAATGGCTCAGCTCCCCCACAGGGTGCTGGTGTTGGTGTCTGGCAGCTGCATTGGCCTCAGCAGGATGTTGCACAGCAGGTATGAAACTTCAGAGTAAAGGAAAACAGAAATAATGGTGGTATCAAGGCCACTGTCATAAACATACAGTGTTGCTCCACTTATTTCTTCTCAGATTCTGAGGTACTGAAATTAATAGTTCAGCAGCCACCCTGATCCACCCAAAAACTGTTGCTGAAAACCTCTCCAATCTCATTTTATGCAAATGTTTCCCATTCTCTGGGGTTTTGCCTCTTTCCTTTTGAATAGTATCTGTTTTCACAGCAGAAAGATGGGAAATGGGTGAGAAGACCTTGCCAAGTGTGAATGCTTGCACTAAGGGCCTGATCTGAACGAGGATGGATGCTCCATGCCTGGCATGGGAGATGGGCTGTCTGTTTTGGGAGGATGGTACATCCCTGAGAGGCTGCACACAATTCTGCTCTTATGATTGGCATAACCCCCATCCCTTTCTAATCTGACATGGTTAGTTTTTTCATTGTCACACCACACACCAGCTTGCTACATGTTTTTGTGTTGTACAGCCCATCATTAGATTAGGATGAACTGCAGCATCGTCCTCTCCCCTCTGTACAGGTGCTTGGAGGTGTTCAGCAGCTCTTGCTGCTGTGTGCAGTTTGTCTCCTGGTCTTCACCTCCCTCTGCAGCCCATGAGCTGCCCTTTAGTGTTGTCAGTCCTTTGTGTGTCCCAGGATTTGGCAGTGGTGCTCTCTGCCCTCCCCTCTGCCTCTTGCTCTATTCACCTTATGCAATTAAATCACAGAAGGACAAGGGATGCAGAGTCCTTTGTGCAAGTGGCCCACAAAGCCAGGCCCCCTGAAGTGTTTACTGTGGTTTAGAAAGGGTCTAACCTTTAGACAGCAGGTTTGAGCTTTATTAAACAGCTGGAGCTATTCTGAGAGTCGGCTCCCCCGGGCACTGGACAGGGATGAAACCAGCCTGTGCTGCTAATTGCAGATGCTCATCCTTCACTGAGAGCCAATATCTTTTAAGGGATCAAGGCCACCCCACTGCCTTCAATATGAGCAGGGCATGGCAGGTCATTACAGCATGAAGATGCAGTTAAACAGCAGGATTCTGCCTCCCTATTCTTGCCTGGCAAAAAGTGCAGGGAGGACTTTGGCTGTTGCTGTTAGTGTGCCTTACTTAATTTTTATTCTAGGAAGAGTTGAGTGTGAATGCAGAGTGGGCTTGGATGCCTGGTGCTGTCATTGGGAAGTGGAGCACGCAGACCCCCCAGGCAGAGGTTCAGCTCCATGTCCTGGTGGTCCTTCTGGAACCCCAGGGAGGTGAGGAGCATATGGCTTGTGATGCTGCATCACAGAGGCCTGGGCTACATTGCAGGGAAAAAGGAGAAAACAGGGAGTGCAAAAACTGCTGGAGCATGGATGAACTCTGGGGTTTCCTTTGTATTTTCTGGGTGTGCTTTGCAATGCTGAGCCCAAGTGTTAATACAAATACAAAATAAATACTTATTTACTACTAATACTGTGTTTTCTCTACCCAGAATCACCCTGTTGTAGTGTAAACTCTATCATGTTGTTAATTAGGGATGGACTAGTGAACCTTTGTTACTAAAATTCTTCCTACTTCTTGCCTTTAAACAAGCATCTTTGAGCTTGTGCCAAATTTCAGTTTTAAACCTTTGAAAAATCTTTAATCTTCTCAGCTTTTTTTTTTTTTTTACTGTTTAAAAACATTAAATATATATTGAACCTAGATCTTGGTGCTGATTAGGATGCTTCTTAAAAGGAGATCTATTTTTCTTACTTAGAGTCAGGAATGCTTAGGAGATGCTCTTTCATCAGCCTGGTACTAAGTGGGAGTAAAGTGATGGAATAGCAGCTGTTTTTAGACAGTTTAGGGTGAATGTAGCCATGTAGGAGGTTTATAGTACATTGACATGAGAATAATGTATCTGGAAAGGTCAGATGCTGAACATGCTTTCTGTTAATGTATATTGAAAATAGAGAGCAGAGTTGTGACTTTTTGGGATGGGTGTTTGCCAGAGCCTGGTCCTGGCCTCAGGGGTCAGACATGCCTCAGCATCTACTGAAAAACAGAACTCAGTGGGGTTACCAATTACTTGCTGATTTATTGACTCAGGTTTTGGTTTATTGCAGTTTTATAAGAGCAGAGTAATTTCTGGTGAAATTTTCGCCATCACCTTTGCATTTTGGGAAATATATTACTTTTCTGCATGGAGGAGAAAGACCTGAGACTAAAGCTGTGCTCATCCTGTGTGAATCCAACCAGCTGATGGTATCTCACGTGCCCTTAAACATTAAAGTCCAATGGGTATTTAAACAAACTATATAACAGACTCTAAACTTCAGTTCCAAACACAGTCTTTCAGCAAGTTCTTTTTTAGCCAAAATGTCAAGTTTTGTTTTCTTCCATTTTCTTACGTAGACAGGTCTGCCCTTATTACTTCAGACTTGCTCTTATTTTATTCTTGGGGGTTTTGTGCCATAGCAAAACATTATTTGAGGAGTAGATTCATAGAGATAAAACCTAGGAAAGTTCCTAGATGCAACCCAGGGAAGGACCAATGCTGACCTGTGTAAAGGTATTTTTAAGCCATTCATGTCTATTCTTTGTAACCTGTATGACTGAGCAGCAAGGACCTAACAAAGCTCCTGAGGCTGGAGTTAGAGAAGTTTCACTGACACTTGTAAACTGATGCTGGGGCCCTTTATAAAAGAGTGAAAATGCATCTTCCTCCCAAGATTTGTTGGGCTCTGTTCTTCGCTCTCCGGATGTAGCATTGCATTAAGAAACAGCAGCCAGGACTGTCTGACCCACTTAAGATAAAGCTAAACTCAAGAAACTGCATTGTCATCTCTTAAATAAGAGCTATAAAGGGGAAGCCAAAGGAGGAGTAACATCCCTGCTCTTCTCTACCTGCCTCAAAATTAATGGCACTCTGTGCTTATCTCCAGCTCTGCCACAGGACAGTAGCTCTGCCCTCTCACAGGGATGTCAGTCAAAGG